CCCGGGCCCGCTTACCAAAGTCCCGGATCCCCTCCTCCGGGGCCTCCTGGGTGAAAATCCAGGGGGGGTTGGTGGCGTAGAGGGAGGTGCTGGGGGGGTTGGCGTGCTTCTTGCCGAAGAGTTTGCTGAAGGTGCCCTGCACCGTCTGGTTCTTTTTCATGCTGCCTGCGGCCCCGCGGCCCCGGGAAGGACCTCCCCTCCCTCGGCCTGCCCTGTCCCGGACCGAACTCCGCACCGTCTCCCCCAGGGGCCGCTACCAGGCCATGTCCCCCGCCGGGCTCCCGGCCCGCGCACCGGCGACAGGTGCTGCGGGCGCCGCCGCTCGCCTGGAAATGCGAGCTACCTGGACAGGTAAGAGGCTGCCGCTGAGACCCGGCCCCGCCCCGCCGCCGCAGCGGCCGCCCCGCCGCCCAACTCCCCAGGCCGCATTCCTGCCTGCCTCCTTCTACAACAGGCCATTGTTGGCACGGCCCGGTGGGCTGGGGACCTCGCCCAGCCCACGCCCAGCCTGGAAGACGAGCCACCGGCCTCCCTCAGGTCCCCCTCCTGGCCCTCCTCCTCCACCCCTTTTCCTCCTGGGGAAAGGAGGAGGCGGGCAAGTTTCCTGCGTCTAAAGAGATTCATGACCAGGTCAACGTGGGTGCCCAAAGCTGGGGGAAACGGGTGGCCAAAGCCAGCAGGTTGCAGGGTCCTACAGGCCCTCCAAAATGTGGGCCGTGAGCCCTCGATGGATATAAGGAGGTGCCCATGGGAAAAAAGGTAAAGGGGGGAAAGCAGTGAACGAGTGTCCCTATCTGATGACAAAGATGGAAAAATATCCACAGTGACCGAGCTCCAAAGAGAATCGTGGGATGACTAAATCTTGGCAGTTTTGTTTACATCAGATTCTTTTGGGGGGATGCCTGGGTGGCTCAATCGGTCGAACTCGTCTGACCCTTGATCTCTGCTCAGGTCATGATGCTAGGGTCTTGAGTTCCAATCCCTCCTGGGGCTCTGCTGGGGCTCTGCAGTGATGTAGCACGGATTCTCTCTATCCCTCTCTCTCTCTGCCCCTCCCCAACTTTTGAATGCTCACTTGCTCAGGCGCACCCTCTCTCTCTCAAAATAAATAGATTTTTGAAAATTCTCTTTTTCTTTTCTATGAAGTTAAGTGAATATGATTTTTAAAAACTCAAGGTGAGGGGCGCCTGGGTGGCTCAG